GCGGCGGTATAGGACTGGCTTTTGAAATCTCACAGTCGTTGTTCATACCGGTATGAGTATAGCGGTTTGCACAGCGGCAACCGAAATAAATAATAATTGTTACTTTGCGAGAATGAGGTATTCTTATAACCGCAGCGAAATTTAGCGGACAGTAGAACAGGGTCTGAATCTTAGCGGACAAGGTAGCACTTATCTGAGAGGAGCACACTTAGCGCACGGCGCCGGTCGCCTCGCCAGCAGATGGTATCATATTTTATAGAGTCGAGTGGCTATCACTCAGCGTGCGAACAGGAGCCACTCAGAGCCAGCTGCTGGTGGTCAGTCGCTAACGGTGCTGGAAGACGAACAACCGCAGTGGTTGGAGGACGACAGCGTGATGCAGGTGATCGGGATGGCTGATCGTAAAGGATGGTGGTGGCATGTACCAAGGGGTCACCTTCCCAGATAGCCAACTTAGCCAATAAAAGGAAAGACACCGACCACACTTCTTCCATCTACAGCCCCCCCCCCCCCCCTCTTATCTGTGCTCATTCAAGGCTATAGAACTCCGAGTCACTAAGGTGCTCCTCAGTCCCCACACCAAGCCAGGGGGTGGCAGGGATTGGTCGCGTGCTCCGTCGCTCGTCAGGCATGCCGCCCAACTGGCTGGGGTGCCCCGAGATCAGACAATCGCAGCCACTGGTGGGTGCTGAGGCGTGCCGCGGACGCCTCGCACCTCCTTTGATTCTGACCACGGCCGATGGACGGCGGATAACCAACATGCAACGCCGATGTAGCCAGTTTACATGGGTAATCGCCAGCCAATATCGTCTGGTGAAGTGAGGAGCTAGCCCATGTAACACGCTTGGTTGGACTTGGTAAACAACACATGGCTGATGGCACACTAAAATAGCACACCGAAGCATGCATAGTGCATATTTTAGATAGCATAATTGTGGTTACGGCGCGCCCAAAAAGCTCGTGCAGCAATAATTCGCGAGTTAACAAGATCATTTGGCTCGTGCCAAAACAGGTTTCGCCTGCCAACACAACCTACACAGTACACAGCGATGAAAAACACACCCAGGCACACTTCACTGAAATACTATCCATGTTAACTCACCGACAGGTTCAGGACAGTCCCTCCGTCACCTCCGTCACCACCACTGGCGTCACACTACTGGGTCTGAGCTCACCACACACGTCCACTTTCTGATATGGAGCCCGTCCGCACCCCGGCCCGGCGTCCGCACAGCCCCGATGGTGTGTGCTCTCTACGTCCAGTAATCTGATGATTTATGACGTATAGGGCGGCAGCTGTACTGACGAACTGTTCGGAGCAGCGCACCCGGCCCGTGCCGCACCCCTCCGAGCGCTGTCTACACCCCACAGATTCCCCCTTCCCCCTCAACAATGAGATCAGGGAAGCAGCGCCAATATCTGATGGGATTAGGGGAAATCGGCTGCTATATCATAAGTTTGCCGTGATTCGTCCATTCGCTATATGATGGATATGCCGTCCTGAACATAGCAAGGCAGGATGACAGCGTAACTTTTTTTGTAAAATTATCCGCATTCAGGAACGAAAGCCATTGTGAACGCGGCGAAAAAGCAGCGGTGCACAAAACCAAACCAGGAAGCTCCATTCATCACATTTTGACAGAAGATGGAAGGACTGTGAATGATAGCGAACGACCGCTCAGGCGCCACGTCATAGTGCTGCCGCAGTCACCGAACAAGTAACGAGTCACGTGACAGGCTGACCTGAGTAGGTCAGACAGACTCCACCTGACCACGTGACCGTATCTCCGTAACGGAGGTGCGGAGGACGTGACGCGGCAAGTGACCCAAATTGGCCGCGCTGGCAGAAGACGGACTCCCAGCGGGCGGTGGCAGCATTGTGAAACGGCACAACTCCAGTCCCATCGACCCTCCGTACCTGAACACCTCGGTGGCTCTCCGTACCCCCGTCGAATCAGATAAACTACCGACAAAGTGCCAGCGCTGACGGCGGACGATGTGAGCTGATGAGTTTGGACTGCTGAGGCGATCAGCGCCGCACGCACGACGCGTGGCGCAGTAAAACACGGGAGGCGACCTCGGCGCAGCGCGCCAGTCTCGTCTCCGAGCCACCTTAGCCCGGGAGCGTTTAACGCCCCGTTTACGAAAGCCATTCACTCTGAACGGCGTGCGTCTCAGCGGGCGAATGCCGGCCCGAATCGACGCGGTGTGAAGCGCATTTTAATCCGTGTTTACGAGTTTTCACATTAGGTATTCACGGGTGGCAGGTCGGCCAGCGGGATGCCAGTAGCTGTCTTTATCCAGAGCGTGGGTTCGACGCTAAGCGGCCAGAAAAAGACGGACGGGAGCGGTCGGATTTAGACATGGTCCAATGGTGACGACAGGCACCCGCATCCTCAGAGGCCGGCGACGGCGGATTGATATTGTGGGAATGCCCGTCACGAATGCCCTGAAGCCGGGACAGATTGAGTCCCATTCAGCACGGCTCATTTACGCTGAATACTAAACAGAAACCGGGTGTCACATTTAGCACCCCTCCACTTCTGTTCACTACTAGAACGCGGATTGCTTCTCCATTCCAAACTATTAGCCCGATGAACACCGGTGAATGACGTGATATGCCTATTCAAGCTCCCAATTCATTGGCCCTATATCACCATTCCACTCCTCCGACACTTCATACAAACCACCATCTCATTCATTCTCTCTCGGTGTTTCTCACGATTCGGGCTGCCATCAGCGGCGGCCGCCCCACGCGGCGCGGTAGAGTCGAGTCACCCGGCGCCGAGAAATCACCGCTCCTCTCTCGCTCTCTGTCCTCTGCTCTCTGTTCTCTGCCTTTGCTCCTTGCACAATGACAGATGAGCGGGAGCGGCGCCTGGCCCGGCCGCCATCGGCCCGGTCACATTGGTATGCATACAGGACCGTTCGGAGATCGCCGGTCGGCTTTCAGCGGCGCGCAATGAGAGGAGCCGCCGCCGCCGCTGACGCTGACGCTGCTGAGAACAGCCCTGTTCTGTGCGCCGCTCTGTGCGCGCATTGCACCGCTCTCTGTGCACTCCTTCCTATCTCGATAGCAGCGTTCAACTGAGTCCTGAACGATTCCCAGCCGCTCTATCCCTCCCGCTACGCTATTAGGTAATCAGCACGCTCGATGAGTCTCTGCGCCACTCCACTGGCCTGGCCTTGTTTCCATGTGGGTAGGTATATTGATATTGTGCCGCCTATATGGCATGCGTATCCCCTTCACGGCCACATGTGCATTTCGCCTGTTTGCCTCAATTCCTCGCGCTCAATGAGTTGAGCCTAGCATAGAGCAACACTTTGCAGTCCTTCGCAATGTCTCTAACCCACTCCTCCCCTCACCCACGCCGCTCTGTGCGTTGCCTCTGCACAAGTGAGTGGTGCTTCATCTTACGGTGATTATATCGCTGTCTCGTCATGGTCGACCTTGCACCAGCACCAGCACTCAAAAGACGGCATCCCTTTAGCTCAATAAAAAACCGGACACGGTCAACACTAATGAAACGAACCAAACACCCTCGCGCCGACCGGTGGAAGCATTGACACCCCGGCAGCGCACGCCAGCTGATGGATTTCGCGCCGACAAAAACCGAAGGAGAAAGAATAGACTCTGGCAGCTTGTGACTGCGCCAAATAACGCCAATTAAGTCAGAATCTTCCGAATCATCGCGTTTTCATCTGAGAGATGGATCGCCTGTGATGAGCGGAGCCCTTTTTCATCTGTTTGTTCTCAGTGTGATAAATAATTCATCGTCCGTTCGCTGCCGGCTCAGAGAGCTGCGAGGGCGCGTGTGCGTACCTGACGTCTACGCTGCACGGCGCAGCGGGGATATTCGAAGAAAGAGAGCAAGTGGGCTCGAGCTGATCAGCGATCGGAGCTGAACATGCGTTCCGACGCAGCGGCGGCGCCCGGCTGAAATGTCAAACACGCGTGCTGACTCGGAAAGCTGTCACACGCAGTGATGAAATGTGACTCTATAGGAAGTGGAGAGTGGGAAGTTCGATAACCTGAACTAATACATCTTTATGTATGCAATTAGATTGCAACATAAAGACTCAGCTGGGATGGTTAAAGTACCGCCGACTAGGCATCCATAGCTGGAGAGCCACAGTTCAGAATGACAGTTACGGAGTGTCGCTGAACGTCGGTCGTCGGCTCCGACGGTTGCCGCTAGCGCCGCCCGGCGGCGTCGACGGGCACTACTAGTCCTCGTCGATTCCGTCTCGGTACAGATGACGACACTGAGCCCAAACACACAGAATAGGATGCGATCACACGGTGTCCTGCGGTATCCCTGCACCGACTATTATTTGATTAAAACATTTGCTTTTTTGATACAAAATTGTCACCTGAAATGTTATAAGACTGAATTAATTTCTCGTCGTTCCCATCAGTGTCAGAATAATCAGCAAATGCAATCTATTTTAAAGGTCATCTACATATTTTCCTATCTAAACAGTTATCAAAACGCTACCATGACCTCCTTCTCAAATACCGTGTTGCTATTCAATAACCAAACACTTACCTCCACTTTGATTGAAGACACCGGTAAGCAATCACCATAAACAACATAAACTGGCCATTTAGAACACTGATCGAATCGTAAACGTGACCTGTGTTTGTTTCTAGCGCCGCCAAATAGCCGTCACTCGCGGATCGATAAAATCACTCTCACTGGTCGGCAGAGTCATGTAATGTGATTCCATTCCTTGGTGGGCCCGGGTGCAATGGATCCATCGTGATCAATGCACCGCCTGCCGTGCTAGTCAGGCAGGAGCGAAAACAGGCACCGATATCTGTACGAAAATTTCGCCGCTAATGTAACTATAGTTACATTAGCACTATCTGACCGCGCTCCCGTATTCTAGCGATGTGGTCTACGCAGCGGTCTAAGCTACGCACAAATCCTATCCAAGCCCACAAATGTATACGAATATTCAATGGATAGATCCACTGAATCCACAGAATTACTTACATGATTGTCGGTCGCAGTCCAGCCTCTGCCCGGTCCCTCCGAATACTGAGGGTCGTGTCGAGACGTCCCGTCCATTTGGCCGTTCATTCTGCAATAAAAAGACGAACAACACGTCATACCTCTGAAAGGACATCGCACAGACTAACTACAGCTAATGCCTAATAGCACTGTCTGAGATACCACTTCACGGAACATCACATACACTCAGTCACTGCTCCTACTGACAAGCGACAGGTCAGCACAGACACTCAGTTACTACCTTACTACCTCTGGCAGAGCAGCACTCAGACTGAGCCAGCCGGTTGAACGGCGGGCAGCCAGCTGGTATCGGGTCTCAAAGACGCCGCCTCCGCCGCCGTCTGTGCCGGCCCAGCTGACGGCGGCTTTCTTTTCAAAGACACGGACAGACAGTTGCTCAATGGAGCATATAAAGTCGGGGTGGAAAGGGGTGATCTCATAGCATCTCCCACCTACATAAGTGGTAGCCTTCGATCCCGTTGCCTGGTGAACATCCAGGAACCAGGAAGAAGAAGTGTTACATCGTTAGGTCATCGAGAACGATGATGTCGATGTCAATCCGGCTGGTAAAACAGCCCGCTGTACCGTCCTTGCTTCAGAAAAACATCGGGCCGCCTCCGCACTCTCTGCTGTAATCTACAACACATGTAGCGGTTCATATGTAGTATGCATTTACATATTGCGGAGGAACGCAACCTCACGTATATGTCACATGAGGAAGTCGGCCGGTTCGAGGCGGAGCTCACCCCACGTGCTGGAAGACGGCACGTCCGCCGCAGCACGAACACACGTGCAACACGATCACGTCTCGGAGAAACGCACGTGTCTAGCAGGACTCGCCTCTTCCCTCTCAGGTATGCGTGAGAAATAGAGGCGCGGCGTGTTCGTTTTATGTCGATACCAATCTACCACTTCCTCGTGCACGCAGAACTTCACGCAACTATAGCTGCGTGACCGCATATATGCGATCGCTTAGTCCAATGCACTGTTCCATTTGAGCCCGATTCAGTTTCTCATTAGGGCCTTTGCCGGCATGACTGGAGCGGCGTCCTTTCATCGTTCGACACGGGCTCTGTCTCGGTCGACCCGCATTGCGAGCGGCCCGGCAATGACTGGCCGCGCCGCGCCGGCACCACTTACTGGCTGAGATGAGGTGGCACGCCGCATGAGCCGGCCATTTTTCCGCACGCGGGCTGCCGCCAACATATACCGGGCTTCGGGGAGGGCCTTCAGGGCAAGGTGCTGACTTCAAGTCACCGCTGCTGCCAACGCCGTCGCTACCACCGGAGCAGTACCTGAATACACGCCACTGGGTAACAGCGCCTACGTCCCACGGCAGCCTCTGGGTCCGACTTCGTTACTCCGGTCTCCAGGACCATCTCTGTTCCTCTGGACTCCGGGGCCACCTCCATTCCTCCCGGTACGACGGCCAGGTGGCGGATATGGCGGCGCCCGCGGACCACCGATGACGGATGCACGTCACGTATTGAGTGGCCGTCATCAGAGCGCACTTCCCCGCGGGCGGCGGTGTCGGCAGCGGCCAGCGGCCCCAGTCGCCGAGCTGCTTCACAGAATCTCTGTAGGCACCTCCCGACTGACCGGGCAGCAGGCCACTGCCGCCCAATCTAGGCTAATGAGTCGGAGCTCCACTGACCTTGCAACAATAGATGCCAGCTGTGAGCTGATCGAGCAGACTGCGCGCGGAGCATGGGGTAAAGAGCGGTCGTTTGTCAGACGTGAGAGGAGAGGAGAGAAGGAGAGGAGAGGAGAGGAGAAAAGAGCTGATGGGTGCAGATCAGAGCAGATGAAGGAGAAGAGAGCTACACAGATAAAAACTCCAGAATACCTGGACGGCAGTCGCGCACTCAGCGTTGGGAGTGATCACTGATTGAGATGAGTGATGGCCTCGACGGCCTCGCTGCCTCTCTATAGCCCGATATCATGAGGAAACAGCCAGACAATGATATCAGAAGTCAGCCGCACAAAAAGGCCGCATTAGGGCGGCAGGCTGACAACGGACCGTCAAAACATCGGGCCACATGCAAACAAAAACCTACTGCTGACAACAGAGACGCAGTCAGCTAGCAGCTCCAGATACGGATAGGTTGCCAGCCAAGCAAGCCTTCATGTCGTCAAGACTGGCCAGTGTAGCCGGACCAAGGCTGCCGTTTTTAGATAGCACACCGCCTTTACCCGCCCCGCCCCCGTCCATAGCCTGCTGAGCAGTCGCCGTCGGGGCCAGCCCTCTGACCCGACCCCCACCCGGCTTTGCTCAATGCACCTGCACGAGAAAAGCAAACAGACACTGTCGAGGAGCGGCCTTGCCCCGTCGTCATGCCGGGTCGCGGGGACGGTGGTGGGCGGTGGGTGCCGGAAGGTCACGACCCGAGACTTCGTGACTACGTCTACCGGCGTCCCGCCCCCGCCTCTGGGCCAGCTCAGTGGGACAGCAGTCTCACGCTGGCACTATATCAAACCACGATCGAGGGAGACCACCTGCAGCGCAGACATAGAGAACCGACCACTTGCCGGCTCTGACGTGACACGTGCAATACGTGACGCCACGACTCCCCGCGTGACGAAACACGAAACGTGACACTCGGTGAGACTTTGACGTGACGCGTAGCTTGCGTAAAACAACAGCGATCAAGGAAGACGGGCTCCGACACGTGTCGTTGTGACTGTGAGGCCTGACTGGGTGGACGCAGCCGTCTGAAAAAAGACAGCCCTTCGCTGAGTTCCGCACTTGTGGAGGGTCAGCGTTCTGGGCAATTGGTCGTTACTCAGACCGCGAGAAAGGGGCGGCTCAGATAGTACCGGCGGAAACGGTCGCTCGCACAGACCGAGAATGGGACGGCTGTGGATGTGGCATGTCTGCGGCTGGGTTCGTAGAGTATGTCCGTGAGTGTTGGGATAGAGAAATGCTGTGTTTCAAGCGGCATGCAGGCTGACCGAGCGAATGACCGAGGATGGAGGAATAGACAATGTAAACAACGAAAGGGAACGAAGGGACGGAGAAGATAAGATAGAAGATAGAAGAAAGAAGACGGAATACAGAGAAAGGTGGATGATGAATAGCTGGAAGACAAATTCCGCGTGATATCCACAACTCAAACTTGTCTTGAAGGTTTTCTGCAGGCCGGGACGTTGTTCCTTGCGACAATTCTCACTACTCAGTGCACATCCACACTATACTGTGTGCACTACGGCGTGCACAAAGTACCGACCATTGACCTTAATTGGACCACCCATGGGAGGTCCGTCCGTCAGTGGAGCAGCTCCCTCTCGGAGCTATCACCTTTCTGAAGACTGACTCGTGAGTGAAGGCATGACGCCGCAGCCGAGACGATCCGAAACGGAACAAACCATGGCTAGTGTTCTGTGTGGACTGAGTCGCCTGTTAGACAGACAGCTCACTGAGCTCACCGTGACCATGACAGTACCAGCAGCCAGGTCTCCGTGACAGAGCTGGGTTTATCATCCTCCAGACTACATCAATCTCTAGTGACCGTCTCACCGCACCGGGCAGGGCAACACCTGAGGAGCGGTTTGACTTCAGAGGTCGTATTCCGTGGCAGGTCATCGAACGGGCATTCATGCCATGCCTGACAGTCTGCTGTCATGTTGTTACATGAGGCCGGAAGGTGTCAGACGTTACGTTGTCCAAATGACAGTCTATCTTAGTGTCAGCGCGCTGTGGTATTGTAGTGATAACATAGCTATAGCATGTCAAAGGATCTCAGAGCAGCACCCGAAGTTACTGAGAATAACTACGAAACGGTTGGGTTGTCGTTGACGAAACGTGACAACATACCGATGCGTGCTGACAAACATGCTTGCCCAGTGGAGAGAGTATCGGGTTACGTGACCAAAGTCTCGTCTATCTCTGGTCGATTTCGAAGAGCAGTGTTGATCATCATGAAAGAATTCCCAAAAACGAGTCATGGTGCGAAGATTAGCAAAGTGCATTGTTCTTCACGTAATAAAAGCAGGCCTGGAAACTGGTAAGAGGATTTTTATATTACAAACACTGACGTGACAGGTAAAATGGCCACACTGTAACACTGCATTTGGACGCAAGGCGAAAGAGTCAATGCACTGTGAGAACGGGCCAACGAACTCCTGGAGAGATCATTTGCTTACAATTAGCGTCCATTTATTTACCACTCGAGACAGGGATGCATGGTCTGCAGCCCGTACCATCAGACACCCTGTACGGCTCAGGCGAAGTAAGTGGGTGATTGTTCCGTGCACTACCTGCAATTAGCAGTTGGCAGGGAAGACCGTGGTAAGCAGATGCCGGACAAGCTACGTTCCAGAGTGGGCGGGAGCAGCACGAGCGGACGGGCAGCACCTGGCGCGGTTGGCTAGCACGAGCGTTGGAAAGGTTCTATCAAGCTCCGAAAGAGGAGCTCACCACGACCCGTCGTTACCACCATCTCGCCAGTATAACACTAATTTAGGGAGGCTCCCGCCGAGTTACGATTACGGTGAAACGTTGAGCAGCCGGCGGCGGTCTCGCGGTCTATTACCGAACCATTAGTCGTCATCCAGCGTCAGTTGGAGCCTCATTCGCGCTCACTCGCGCGCGCGCCGCATCGACCTTCACCCAGATCACACATCACCCGCGTGGAGGGAGGGGGTTGCCGGGGGGGCCAAGGCTTCCTTCGACTTCACACCCAGCAGCGGGTGTGGCAAGGTGCTGCCGAAAACACGGATCGAGAAGGGCGCGCAAGGTTGCCTGTGAATATTAGATTAGTTTAGGAAATACTAGGAAGGCAAATGACAAATGACAGCAAATGACAGCGTTCAGCTCGCGCAAATCAAGGGACAGCCAATGCATGCAATAGACAAGCAACGCTCATTCCCATGACCGAAAAGGCGCTGGCGACGCAGGACCAGCGTGCTGCTGCCGCCTCCCGTACAACACTGTACAGACCACTCAGGCTGCCGAGCAGGCAGCATTATTCAACACCACTTTGTTAATATCATTCGGGAGCCGTGTACGGAATACCATTACACGGCTCGGCGCGGCGCGGCCGCTCGTCGAGCCGCCGCTGAGGTAAGCGG